TGGCCACCAAGATACTCCAGAATTTATCAAAACGATATTCATGCCCGCAGGGGAATATTTCGAAAAACGTTTTTGAAAAAAAAATGTATTAAGTTTTGACATTTTTCTGTGCTTTTTGAGGGTGGTAATTTGAAATTTAGTCTGTTGGGCAGGGGCGTCCTTAGGGGGGGGGGGTGGAGACGGGTAGATCAACCCCCCCCCCGCCCCAGAAAAAATCCGTAGCGACGCCCCTGCTGTTGGGTTAAAAAAGTAGTTGAATTTTCGCTTTTTTGGAAAAATTGCAAAGCACAAAACATGTTCTTAGCTTATAGAAGTACGTATAAAGAAAACAATGACATGTATGTCAATCAAATTTTATAAATAAAAACAAAGGAGAGATTAAAGAGTAACAATCGTATAAAAAAGCTTGTTTAAACGTTTTTTCATAGCCTTTCTTCAGTTTTTAGTCAGTCATACTCTACTCTTGGCTTTACCCATAGCCTAAGACACTACCCTAGCCCTTTCTTTCGTCCTAGAGTGGAGCTCTAGGTTAAGTTCTGGCTTGAGCTTAAGTCCTAGTCTGAGGTGAGAACTAGTTTGAGCTTAAGCTCTAGCACATGCTCTAGGCTTAGCTATAGAAATATAATAAGCCCTAGGCTAAGGCTTAACCTAAGCCCTACTCTAAGCCGTATCCTAAACCATAGCCAAAGCCCTAGCACAATCCGTAGCCTAAGTCTCAGGCTTAGACCTCGAACTAGATTAAGCACTAGGTTTATCTCTAGAACTAAGATGATAAGCTAGAGTATGCTCTAGGCTTAGCTTCCGCATCAACCTTGTTCTAAGCCATAGCCCAAGCATTAATCTAAGGCCTAGCCTAAGCTCTAGATTAAGCCCTAGTTTAAATCCTAGTCGAAGGCTTCGCCTAAACTCTAGTCTAAGGCCTAGTCTAAACTTTAGCTCAATTCCTATCCTGAACCCATTAATCCTAGACATAGCCCTAACACTACAACTAAGAAGATGCCCTTGCCCAAGCCGTAGCCCATAGCTTTAGCTGTTCCCTACTCAACTTTACCCTAACCTACCTAGACATGAGAAACGGGCCGGCCTTGAGCAAAATTCCGATCGGGCCGGGCCTGAAAAATGAGCCGGGCCCGGCCCGTTTCCACGTGAAAAAAATCTAGGCCCGGGCCGGGCCTACCATCGGGTCGGGCCTAGCATTCAGGCCCAGCCCGTTTCTCACGTCTAAACCTACCCGACCCAAAAAATCAAGGTAATAATGCACAACTATGTAAAAACTGCCCAAAATTTGAAAAATGAAAAAAGTCAACTAGTCGAAATTATTTTTTGCTCATTCCTAAAAGCCATAGGAACATTCAAATTGAAAGGGGAAAAGCGAATCCAGCCGTTTACGGAAGTGCACTTTACTTGCTGAGAAACAAAAAAGTATTATTTTGGTTAACCTGAATCCTAATGCACTATAAAAAGAATGTGTACTCAATGAAAATTACATTCAACAAGTATTAGCGGTCGAAAAAGGGTCACGTTTCGGTCTTTGTCTATAGAAATTGAATATGAAAGGTTATTAAAGTAGGGTGGAGCCGGAATATAAGCTTAAAATAGCTTACCTAAGCCTAAAATGTGTATTAAGCCTAAAATCATGTACTTAAACCTAAATTAATGTACCTAAGCCTAACATGTGTATGTAAGCCTAAAATTATCTGCCTAAGCCTAAAAGTAGGTACCTAAGCCTAAGGTTGTGTAAACAAGCCTAAAATGTGTGACTAAGCCTAAAAAGCGTACCTAAGCCTAAAATGTAAAAACAAGCCTAAAAATTTGTTTCTGAGCCTAAAGTTGTGTAACCCTTACTAAGCCTGCCAGATTTGTCTAGGTAAGATAATATAAAGTAAAAAATGGCATAAATTTCAAAATTTTTCAAACTTAAAAAATCAAATTCCCACTCCTCCCAAGATGAAAAAATAAAACAGAGACAGCACAACAAGTGGCCGTTAAAATTCACAAAATACTCAGCAATTGGTGGCTTTATTTTGTTTACTAATCAAAAATTCCCGCCATTTTAAGTAGTTTTTGGCATTATGCCCTGCTCTCCGGCTTCAAAGTTTTTTTTCGAAAAATATGACACTAAAGATATAAAATGAGCCATTTTCGAAAATTAATAGGGCTTTTGGAAGATTTATGAATGTATATTTATACAGTTAGCTTGTTTTTGGTGATGAATTCATACAATTTTCATTTTAACACTAAAATACCCAAAAGATCAAATTTGTTACCTAGTTTTTTAATAATCCTCATTACTAATGCAAAATTTGAAAAAAAATCAACTTTGTTACCTAAAGTTCACAAAAAATAAATTTTGTTACCTAAAATCCAAAAAAAAATGAAATTTGAAATCCTAAAAAATCCTCATTTTTAATGAAAAATTTATGAAAAAATCAAATTTGTTACCTAAAATTCACAAAAAATCGAATTTGTTACCTAAATTTAAAAAAATCCTCATTTCTAATGCAAAATGTAAAAAAAATCAAATTTGTTACCTAAAACCCAAATAATCCTCATTTCCAATAAAAAATACAATTAAAGACAAAAATGAGACAAAAACGACCAAAAGTTGCCAAAACCCGCCGTTCCTCTTTTACTATTCCGTTAACATATTCAAACCTTCTAAACCTAATTAAAAACGAAAAGAACAGGCCGTGAAACATGTCCAACACATGTGTTTTGACCTCGACAAATCGCTGTCAAATGAGAAAAACCGCATTTTATTTACGTAAATAAAAGTTTTTAAAAAAGTTTTGAAAATCCGCATTTCTAATGCAAAGGTTTGAAAATCTTTTGAGAAAGGTTAAGGGTAGGGCAGAGCAAACCTGGGCAGGATAAGACAGTGCAAGGTCAGGCAGGAACAGGCAAAAGCACGGCTGAGGCGGATCAGGGTATGGGTAGAAGTAGAAGTGGGGTAGTGTTAAAAATATTGTAAGGGCATGACATTGCAAGGCAATGCTGAAACAAGGCAAAGGCAGAGTAGGGCCAAGGGCAGAAGAAAGCAGGACAAGAGCATACAGAGGGTAGGGTAGGAGTTTGGATGAGGGTAGGTGTAGGGGTGGGATAGGGGCTGAGGTAGGGGTAGAAGTAAGGGTAGGCGTAGGGGCAAGGGTAGGGGTAGAAGTAGGGGTAAGAATAGGGGTAGGGGTAGGCGTAGGGGTAGGGGCTGAGGTAGGGGTAGGAGTAGGGGTAGGGTTAGGGGTACGGGTGGGGGTACGGTTAGGGGTAGGGGTAGGGGTGGGGTAGGGGCTGAGGTAGGGGTAGGGTAGGGGCTGAGGTAGGGGTAGGGGTGGGGTAGGGGCTGAGTTAGGAGTAGGGGCTGAGGTAGAGGTAGGGATAGGATAGGGGCTGAGGTAGGAGTAAGGGCTGAGGTAGGGGTAGGGGTGGGGTAGGGGCTGAGGTAGGGGTAGGGGTAGGGGTGGGGTAGGGGCTGAGGTAGGGGTAGGGGTGGAGTAGGGGTAGGAGTTAGGGTAGGAGTAAAGGTGGGGGTAGGGGTGGGGGGTAAGATTAGGGCAGGGCTAGAGGTTGAGGTAGGGTTAGGGGCAGGAGCAGGGGTAGGGGTAAAGGTAGGGGTTGAGGCAGGGGTAGAGGTAGGGGTCGTGGTAGAGGTCGGTGTAGGGATAGGAATATAGGTAAGGGCAAGGATATAAATAAAAAAAAACTTTTCTTAAAATTCTAAACCCAACTCCCCCACTAAAAACCACAAAATTCTAATCAAAAGTTGGAAAAAAATATTTGTTTGCGGTTCAAAACCCGCCAAATGCCCTACGGGGAATAATTATCGAAATTCAAGGAGACGCCAATTCGTAATCCCAAAAATGGCCCCCACCCGTAAACAAGGACCCACCAAATGAAGCGCCATCAAACGACCAAACGACTTTTTTTCATTGTTTTTCGACTTACTTTTTGTTTTATATCCACGATTACTAATTACGCCATGATGCGGACAAAAGGCAACATTGTTTTTGAAGCCAAGGATTTTCATGTTCAGAACGGTCAAAAATGATGTTAAAAACCAAAAATCATACCCCGTTCACAAAAAAGTTTTTTTAAAAGTAAAGCAGGGTAAGAAAAGCTAAAGGTAGAGTACGATAAAGAAAAGGTATGGGTAAGTAAATCATAATTTTTGGTTTAAAAGCAAACTTATTTCGGCTTACATGCAGGTAGGGTAGGATCAGTGTTTTGCCGGACAAGTCAGCTATGAAAAAAAATTTGGGCCAAATCAGACCTAAAAACCTGCGGACCCGAACCTCAAGACCGGACCTGAGCAATAAAAAACAAACCCGGACCAGACTGAACCATACAATTTTAAACCGGAGCAAAAAAAAACCCACATCTGGATCGGTCCGGCAGAAACACTGGGTACGGTAGGCTAGGCTTGACTAAGGTAAGGTAAGATAAGGTAAGGTAAAGTAAGGTAAGGTAAGGTAGGTAAAGTAAGGTAAGGCAAGGTAAGGCAAGGTAGGGTACAGTACGGTAGTGCAAAGTAGGGTAGGATAAGGTACAGTAAATCAGGGTAAGGTAGGGTAAGTTAGGGTAGAGTAAGGTAGAGTCGAGTAGGGTAGGGTAAAGCAAAATGGACTAGGGCAGTATAGCCTATGCCAAGTTAAACTAAAAAAAGTAAATTCAAACATTTATTACAAAGTATAAAATGCCGACTTTAAAAGTAATCGTTTGTTTTTGTTCAAGTAAAGATAAAAAATGACATGCCCTTTGAGTACCTTAAAAAATTCGTTGAGAACACTAATGACTTTTTAAATAGACAAAAAAACAAATTTTAATTTCAAAATACAACGTTAAATTTAAAAATTTGAATTTAGGTAGACTTTACAAGTTTTAAATTTTAAAAACAGCCAGAAGGACGTACTATACATACAGTAATAAATTATTATATTATACAAAAAATGCCAAAATATTTTTAAAAACTTTTAAATTTAAAAATATTTTAAAATTTAGACTAGTTTTTACTCGCAAGCCAGTTTGCCATGAAACGAGCTCATCGCTATACCAAACGCTTGGATGGGTGATAAGGGGTAACGGAAGTCCATCGTAAACACCTCCGAACTGATGCGACCAAACTGCATCACCACATAGTCGGCTTAAATTTCAAAATTTTTAATGACTGGTACAGTAAGGGGTAGGGGTAATGTTTGCTTTTAAGCCAAGAAAAAAAGGTGCTATGGTATGGGAGAGGGTAAGGTGAGAGGTGTGGGTATAGGTAAGGTGAGCGGTAGGGCTAAGGGTACGAGCATGGGTAAGGTGAGCGGTACGATAAAGGGTAGGGCGAGGGATACGGGTAAGGATTCAATGAGAGGTATGGTAAGGGTAGGGTAAGGAGTGGAAACAGGGTCATGTATAGGGGTAGAGCTGGCACAGAGCCAGAATAAGGTACGACAATTTGGGCATGGTAGGGCAAGGGTACAATAAATGAAAGGTAAAATCATGAGCAGGGCTATGGTAGAGCTTTAAGTAAAAGTAGGGGTTAATGTAAGTCTTTGCAATGGCCGTACTGGCTGCTGTTATCAGTGGCAGGTAGGGATAGAAGTAGGGGTATGAGTAAAGGTAGGGGTACCAATAAGGATAAAAGTAGGGGTAGCGGTAGGGGTACCGATAAGGGTATGGTGGAGGAATGAAAGTAGGCGTAGCTTTTAACTTACGATTAAAGCCATGTACAATTTGAAAGTTCTTCACACTGGCTTGAGTAACTCTACCATGGAAATTCAGCACATACGATTGAGTATCTTCATTCCATTGCGGATCTTTGTTATTTAGCACTACCATATCGTTTATTCGATGGCTTTTAAATCGTTCTAGTATTGTGTCTTTTTCCTAAAAGATCAATTTTAAAACTTAAAAAAAATTTTAAAAAATTTTTTGAAATTCAAAAAATTTGTAACCTGAAACCAAATATGAATACAACTTACACTAACAGGCCTCACTTCTTGTCTGACATTATCATTGACCAATGCTGGTAGTATTATCGTCATTTTTCTTGGGCCTTTGAAGCCAAACACGTTGGTTTCCTAAAATAAGACATAACATATAAACATAAGCTAATTTAAATGCCCTACAGGACAAATTTTTCATAAAATCGTATTTGAAGCATCAAAGTTAGACCAAGAATCTAATTTTCAGACAAAAAATCGATAAATACTAAAACCATTTCTGGGTCCCACAACGAAAACTAACATCGGCTAACGGTGATTAATACAGAATGCCAAAGAAACGTCAAAAAAACGGCAAATTGGGGTACTAGATAGTATATTGGTCGTTCTATACATCTTATCATACTAATAATCAAGCCAAACAAACAAATCAACTCACATAAATAATAGCACCAAGCTCCTGTCGAACACCCTCGCCAATCACGGTGGCCTTCTTCGGATTCTCGCCGTTATCGTAGATCGTGAACATCGTACCGACTGCATTTGATCTAAAAACGTAAATTATAGTCTTTGCTTAATGTTACATTTGGTTTTGGTATTTTAAAAGGATTCATCATCGGTTTTTGGCGATATTATGCTAGACGGTCTAGTGTAATATAACATATTCGTTGTTATGGACTTTTTTAGGCTTAAAGCTTTTTGATTTTTGTAAAGCATACTATGCGAACCCATTAAGCTTCATTTATATTCACTAAAATTTGATATTACACTAGGTGGGGAAGTGTAATATAAGGGACGAGCGAAATACATCGGATGGAAAGTATCAGACAAAAAATGCAATTCCTTGTCTGATATTTTTTTCAACGATTTTTTTTTCTCTAACTGCCGTCGGCAACGAGAGGAAAAAAAGACAGCGGGAAAATGAGAGACGAAAATATCAGACAAGAAATCGCATTTTTTGTCTGGTACTTTCCATCCGATGTATTTAGCTCGTCCCTTATATAACCTTTTGCTCGTTTTGGGAAATTTTAGACTTATAACTTGCCGCTTATTTTATCTTACGAATGCCAAAGAACTAGTTCGTATTTTACAACCTATTGTAGCTCTATTTGTATTGATTAAACCATAAAATTCGATATTACACTAGCTAGTCTAGTGTAATATAAATTTTTGGTCGTTTTGCCATTTTTAGCTCTGAAGCTAGCCACTTCTTGTAAGTTATGAATGCCAAGGTCATGTTTTATCTATTTGTATTGCTTAAACTATTAAAAAACTATTTGTATTGCTTAAACTATTAAAAATCGATATTACACTAGGTGACCAAGTGTAATATAGCCTTTTTTGAAGTCTTTAGCCCAAAAATTTGCAATGTTTTATACCTCATGGCTAGCAAAACCTTTTTTAATATCTTACAGAACTTTTTAAGTCTATCTACATTGATATACATTTAAAATTTACCTGACTTTAGCGATATAAGCTGTTCCATTCCGGCTCAACTTGGTCGCGTCCGTGGAGATCAAATAATTGGCTGTGGCACTCTTTTTTCGTCTTCTTGCTGCCAAAATGAATATGTTCTTGTTATGACCGGTGCTATCATCTCGTTCTAGGTGTAGGTAATATATTGGGAACATTCCTTTGTCCACGCCCTTTTTGTCTCTTGTGATCTTGCACTTCATGGTTAGGTTCTTTTTACATGGTTCTGAAAGGAAATTAGGTATAGATTGATATAGAATTGAGTTTATATAAATATATTTTGATAGGTAGGGGTTTTTGATGCTATTGGGGGTTTATTTTGATAAAATGGAAAGATTTTGATCGGGCGTGGTAAAAATTTTTTAATTTTTTTTTGCTGGTGCTTTTTTATTTTTACAGGGTAGGGGCTAATTCTCTATCCATACGCCGATCCTTACCCCTACCATACCCTACTCTTCCCTTTGACAAAATAGAAAAATTTTGGCCGGGCGTGGTAAAAAATTTTAAATTTTTTTTTCGGCTGGTGCTTTTTTATTTTGATAGGGCAGGGGCTAATCCTCTATCTTTACCTCACTTTCTACCCCTACCATACCCTAAACTACCCTACATTCTACCCGATTTTCACCGGGCGTGGTAAAAAATCAAAAAAATTTTTTCGGCTGGTGCTTTTAGGGTAGGGTAATTTTTCTTTTCACTTTTTTTGAAAAATACACAGGGGGCCAAGTTTAAAAGGTTTAGAGGCATGGGAAACTTCAAAAAAATTTTTTTTTAATTGTCTTACCCATGACAAACTTCTCCATGTTGTTGACGATGTCAGCTATGTCCAGCTTGACCGATGTGTCTTCGAGAACGTTCGTTTCCAAATTGTCATCATCTTCCCATGGCCTAACAGTCTCTGATCCATCGTTCTCGCCTTCTGAAATGGCGTCACTCGAGGCGGAGATGTCGAGTCGATCCACGTCGATAATGGGCTTGACTAGGTCACTTGACATTGAGGAGGATGATGAGTAAGTGGGCTTGGTCTTTCTGTCTACTGATACACTGGAATTTGAAGTTTGTGGTAGGATAGCGTATTCTATTCACCCTGCCCGACCCTACCCTACGCTACCCTACCCAACCCTACCCACTCTACCCTATCCTAGCCTACCTTACCCCCGCCTTACTCTACTCTACCGTACACCACCCCCCTTCCCGCCCCCATTTACCTAACTCAATTACCTACCTCTGAGCCCTCTGGCTAGGCGGTGGAGTCAACCCCCTAACAGTGATGATCTTCGGTCCTTGAGAAATGCCTCCGGCCGACTTGCTGGATGGTATGTGATTAGGCTTGTCCTGTTCCAAGAACGAGTACAACGAGCCCGAGTTGATATTGGATTCGTCCAAATCGACCGAGTCTTCACGGCTCACGTTCGACGCTACAATCCCATTCTGTTGTAGGCGACGTTGTCGCTGTCGTTCTTCCAGCAGGTGTCGCTGAAAATGGCGTGATTAGAAAATACTTATAATACTCTGTATTGGGGAGGAAGGGTTAAAACAAGTTTTTTTGGGGAGAAGGGGGGGGGGAAAAAAATTGGGTATGGAGCGGAGTACAATTTTTTAGAGTATTTTTTTGGGGAGAGGAAGGGGTAAAAAAAATTCCGGGGAGGGGCGGGATAAAATATTTTTTCGAGGAGGAGGCGGGGAAAAAATGATTTTTGTGGAAGAGTAAGGGTAAAAAATGGTTTTTTTGGGAGAGGGAGGGGTAAAAAATGGTTTCGGGGAGGGGGCGGGGTAAATTTTTTTTTTGGGAGGAGGCGAGGTAAAAATTATTTTTGGGGAAGAGGAAGGGTATTCTGGGGAGATGGAGGGGTAAAAAAAAGTTTCGGGGAGGGGGGTGGGGTAAAATTTTTTTCGTGAAGGAGACGGGTAAGAATGATTTTTGAGGAGAGGGAGGGGTAAAAAACCTCTTTTGAGGAGGAGGGGTAATTTTTTTCGGAAGGGAAGCGGGGTAAAAAAATGTTTTGGGGTGTGGGCTGGATAAAACTGTATTGTTGCGGGGCAGAATAAAAAAGTTTTTTTTTGTGAAGGGGGCGGGGTAGAAAAATTTTGTGAAGCAGGTGGGGTGAAAAATCTTTTTCTGGTGGTGGGGAGAGCAGAAATAACACATACCCCCACTTCTCAGAAAAAAATCTTTCCCCTCCTTCTTCGCCCCCTCCCCCCCCCCTTTTCCTTTTCTTTCCCCCCCCCCTTTTTTTTCCTCTCCTTCTCCCCCCCCCCTACCCCAAAATCTGTTTTCTAGCCTAAATTTGCCAGCCAAATACTGTACATCATACTAAAAAAAGCTGCTACGTAACTCTACATAGTCAAAAACAGCCGAAATGAAGCGCCAAAAACTGACAAGAAACCGAGTTTCCAAAACAATTAAAATCAAAAATGTTGGTGGCTACAATAATGATGGGCTAAATGTTGGCATGGCAACACGGTACAACAACGTATGATAATGACAATTCTAATTTTACGCAATTTCAATATCAAAACATTTTTGCATTCGTATTACAACGAATTTGCTAGAATTACAGTATACTGCGGTTAAGGGAGTTTAAATGAAGTTTATGGCCAAAAAAGGTGTTTTAAAGTTGTTGTAATTGTGTAGAAATTGATATGAGATATTATTAGATAATGATGGAGGAAGTGCCAACTATAGTTAGTATAAAAAACCAACTGTGATAGGTAGGTAGAGTTAGTGGTGGTGAGAAAAAAAAAGGGGGGGGAGTAGGGTAGGTTAGGGTAAAGTGGAGTAGGGTAGGTTAGCCTAGAGTCTGAGAACGGAAACTTACTCAATGGAAAAAAAGGCATGGTAAAAAATTTTTTTTGAGTGTGGATCGCCAAATTTTTTTTTCAAAAAAAAATTCTTGCAAATCAACAGAGATGGAAATGTTCGTTTTTTTTCTGACCTACCCATACCTGTACGTGAAAAAACGAAAAAAAATTTAGAAAAATCGGTCCACAGGTCTCCCCCCCCCCAGAGAAAATCCGTAGCGACGTCCCTGTACCCACCCTAGTTTATCCTACCATACCCTGCTGTTTCCTACCCTAGCTTGTTCTCCCCTACCGTATCCTACTGTATCCTACCATACTCTACAATACCCTACCTTACCTTACCCTAATTTATCTTACGCTATCTTGTTCTACCTTACCTTGCTTTACTTTAATCTACCCTACCTTACCGAAGCTTGCCCTAGTCCTACCGCTCCTATTACTACCCTGAAAATACTTCAACGTAAACCGCCAAATCCTATACTATAATACAACGCGAAACCAAGAAAATACCCAAAAAACGGGCGTGAAGGCAGTTTTAGAACAAAAGCCGACACGTTTTGGTTAATTACTCGAAATACCGTCTAATCCATTTTATCATATCTTTGTGGTAAACACTTGTGAGGTAAGCCCGGCTATGACAAAGGGTTAATGAAGAGGATCAACATCATGTTATGTTGTCGTATTAGGAAGGATGTTTAGGTAGTACGTGGTAATGATAATGATAGTACTCAGCACAGAAAACCGGGGGGGCAATAAACTAACAAGGTAGGGCATGGTAAGAAAAAGCAGGGTAGGACATGGTAAGTCAGGGTATGGTAATGTACGGCATGGTAAGGCAGAGCAAGGTTAGGGCATGGTAAGGAAGAGCAAGGTAGGGTATGGTAAGTCAGGGTATGGTAAGGTACGGCTTGGTAAGGCAAAGCAAGATAGGGCATGGTAAGGAAGAGCAAGGTAAGGCATGGTAAGGAAAAGCAGGGTAGGGCATGATAAAGCAAAGCAAGGTAGGGCATTGTAAGTCAGGGTATGGTAAGGTACGGCATGGTAAGGCAAAGCAAGATAGGGCATGGTAAGCAGTGTTTTGCCGGACCGGCCCGGATGAGAATTTTTTCGGTCCGGTCCGGCTCTATTTTTTTTCGCTCAGGGCCGGTCCGGTCCGGACCAAAAAGGTCAGGTCCGGTCCGGAAATTTTTTTTTTAAATTTTAAAGAGCCAGGAGCGCTCAAACTGCTTTCTTTACGTTTAAAAACTCTTAAAAATATGTTTTATTTGCAATTTTTAAAACAGTTTTATTAAAATAAAAAAAAATTTTTTTTCCGGACCGGTCCGGAACTTTTTTTTCGGTCCGGTCCGGCTCTATTTTCTTTTGGTCCGGTCCGGACCGGTTAACCTACCTGCCGTTGTAAGTTATGTTCCACCCAATCGTTACTCATTTCAGCCGAAATAACTTCCTGATTACCAAATATGTTACTTTAGTTTAAATTGTAGTAGGCATAAAACCTGAAAGTGAATAGAATTAAAAATGTATTTTAAAAAATTTTAAAAGTTCAAAGTTTAAAGTAACAGTGTAAAATCGTACAAACCGACCCCGTAAATTGTATTTATAGAGTTCGGATATCATAGTAACATACCATTTATGAACGCGAGCCTACAAAAAGTTGTAAAAATGAGTAGACTTGCACGTACTACTACTATAAGTACATATTCATGCTAGTTTAGATATACACAAGGACGTCGTTTGGGAGGGGGGGGTGGTTCGGGGAGACTCCCCCCCCCCAGAGCCGATCCGAAAAAAAATCCACAGGTAGACCTGTACGCAGAAAAAACGAAAAAAAAATTTTGAAAAATCGGTCCACAGGCTACCTGTAGACCAAAAAAAAATTTTCGACCTCCCCCCGAGAAAAACCGTAGCGACGTCCCTGGATTTACATACTACGGTATTTTATGTATAACTTGCTCGTGCTATACTGCATGTAGCTAGGAGTACTAATAATAAATGTTCTATAAGCTATGTTATTATATATTGCTTCTAAAGGCCACATTACCTAAAGTTATGTATATATATCAGTAGTGTGTTACCTAAAATTCAACCTAAACCTATTTTTCTAAATTTCAAAATTTTTTTTTAATTTCAAAATTTTTGAAATTTCAAATCCCCCCAAAAGTCCATGCCAATTCTTCCACTCGAGTTCATCACCCTTTATCCCTAAACTTTTGGACCCACGAAACCCTAAAAGGTATTGTCGAGAAAATCCGATCTCATCTAAGCTGGCCCGGCGGCTAAAAATAGTCCGATTGCCCTGATATGGCAATAGACACAGCTACCCGTCTCGACTAATGGCGGCCTGAGGAAAACAGTTACCACGGTAATCAGGAGGCCATTATTACGTTGGGTTGGCGAGAGACGGAACAGAACGATGGAGCGGGAGAGGAGAGAGCGGCCGGCTGCGAGAAAGAAGAGAGCGGCCAGGAGGAAGGTGGAATTGCGCAAGAATTGGAGGGTGGGCGAGGGAGTGGGAAGAAGTGAGAAAGCGGTTGTGCAGCGAGAGGAATTATGAACGGAACGGTGAGAAGACGAGGAAGTGGAAAGAATAGAGAGAGCAGCCAGAGGGAGAAAGGAAATTCGCTTGTTTCTCTCTTCTTTTAGGTCCGAGAAATAGTGTTTGCGCGCGAGAGAGCGAGCAGGGAGTGTGAAATTGTGAACAACTGTTTAAAAAACGCGTGGAAAGAGAGTGGCCAGTGAGAGGAAGCCTTTTCTCTCTTTGTTTCGGGCGGAAAGAAACATCGTTACCGTGCGAGAGAACAATCAGAGAGAGGAAGGAATAGCGCGCGCCTTTCTCTCTGCTTTTCAACTCGCGAAATATTGTTTGCGCGTGAGAGAACGTTCAGAGAGTGTAAGGAATTGCGAACGACGGCCTATAGAGCGTACGTAAAACAAGAAAGCAGCCAGAGAGTGAAAGGAATTTTGGCCGCTTTCTCTCTTCTTATAGGACGGCGAAATAAAGAGGTATCAAAGAGAGCGACTGAGAAAAAGTAGAAAGAACATGCGAAGCACGTGATATCGCGCAGAGAAAGGGAGATAAAGTGGAAATAACATGTGAAACTCGTGATAGCGGCAGAGAATGCGAGAAAAAGTGTAAATAACGTGCGAAACACGTGTATTTAGAAAGATCCAGAAAGCGAAAGATATAATGAAAGAAGAGACCGGTCAGAAAACAAAACAAAAGCTGAGAAACCCTACAAATGAAGAGAACGACCCTACAATGAAGCAAAACGGCACAGTAACTAAACAGAAAAGTGAAAAATACAACGTAAAATGAACATACCACGTCTGCCTCCCCAAAAACATAATGAAAAACGAAGATACGAAGCCAAAACCCCAAAGACATTACATAAAACCTATATAAAGGCCATAGAAAAATGCCAAAAGCAACAATCTCATACGTTGCCACTGGCAACCGGCTGCTGGTTCCCAGTGCTAAAATTTAATGAATTTACTAATTATTTGATATGCTACCGAGTCATAAAGAATAATTGTTGCCATTATCTGAATTCGTAAAGATTTCCAAAATAAATAATTGTTTTTGGGCACGATAATTGATATTTACATGGCTTAATGAAGGTGGCAATGGTTTGTCATCATTTTTGAGACTTTTTTCAATTTTAGAAAAATGAAAGTTGAGTGGAAGATTTGTAATGTATTTTGCACTGAAAATCTTCCACCTAACTTCCATTTTTTAAAAGTCTTAAAATGGCCTAAAAACACTTTTCTGACACCTTTTAGCGGTGGAAATTAAGTGGAAGATTTGTAATGTATTTTGCACTGAAAATATTCCACCAAACTTCCACTTTCGAAAAGTGTTAAAAACGTTTTTTTAGGCAATTTTAAGACATTTTAAAAATGGAATTTGAGTGGAAGATTTTCAGTGCAAACTACATTACGAATCCTCCACTTAGCTTCCACTTTTTAAAGCTTGCCGTATGTTGGCTGGGAAGCAAAGTTCTGCATATTTTTTGTTTTGTAAAGAAAGTTCTTGCTATTTCCTGTTTTGTAAAGAAAGTTATTGCATTTTGTTTTGTAAAGAAAGTTTTGATCAATGCATGGCTTCTTACTCAAGATTTTTGTCATGTTCTTATAATTTTTCATCAATTTCTTGCCATTTCTAATCCAACCTCCACTTATTTAATAATTTTTATTTATGTTTTCATGTAAATTTTCACAGAGTAAAAGGAAAAGAAAGAGAATTACTTGGTATGACACAATATGATAAACATTTCAAATATTTTAAGAATGAGGAAAACTTGTTTTTGTAAAAGTCTCGATGAACCTAATCGTGCTATGTCGGTCCAGGCAGCCGGCCTGGGGGGAGGAGAAATGACCAAAATTCAAAAAAAAATTGAAAAAAATTAAAATTTCAAAAATTTTAAAAAATTACAAAAATTCAAATATCTCAAAGTAAAAAATGCATATATACACAGATAAGCTTACAATACCATTAGGATACAAGGTAAAATCATATATGTTATCTTAAGACAGGGTACTGTAGGTTATGGCTACTGTAATAGAAGGACATTATACGGTAATGGTAGAACATGACTACAGTAACCGTAGAACATGACTACAACACGGTAAGACTTATCTACAGTAACCGTAGGGCCAAAATACAGTAGGTGTAAAAACTACAGTAAGACCCCGATACTAGTACAAACTGTTAAGTAGAAAAAGTACAGTAACATAATATAGTAAACGTCTCAAGATTTGTACTAAATGGCAAAAGATGATACAGAATGCTATAATAGAATCAAAAAACATACAGTACGCTACAGTATGATAAAAAACATACAGTAGGCTGCAATATGACAAAAAAAAGATACAGTACGCTACAGTAAGATAAAAATCATAAAAAAATCGACAAAAGTAGTTTAATACAGTATAATATGATTAAGTAAAAGTTGCGGTTAAGTAAATGAGTAACGCAAGTACGGTATTGCGTTGAATAGTACGGTAATCGAGGTTCAAATCAATGTTTATAAAGAGCTTCAGGCTACAACTACTCCTAGGGTTATAAAAATCGTACTTAAAGACGCGAAAACTAGCTGTAGTACCATTTTTAGGGCCATAATAAAAAACAGTACCACTAGTACCATCGGTACCACTAGTACCACCTTTCAAAAACGTGAAAAAGCTTCAAAAAGCAATTCGTTAAAAAATTATGCCTGTTTTGTGAAACGTTACCATTAGTACCACTAAGGGTACCAGTGGTACCATTAATAAAAAATGACATAAAAGTCTTAAAAACCTTAAAAAATCACTTTTTTTGACACAAAAATGACACTATAAATTCAAAATAGTACGCAAACAGTAATCCAAAATGGTACCAATAGAACCAAAAATCAATGAGGAATGCATTATGCAAAAACACTAGCTTAAGTAGATTACAGAATTAATAAGTTTAGACCTAACAAAGAGATGCCCATTTAGTTTCGATTTCAAGCTTTGAACCAGTTTTGGCAGCCTTATAAACAACTGCACGGTGCAGCCTGTTATAAAGCTTGCACCGTGCAGTCGAATTGCATAATCTTGCACGGTGCAGTCAAATTGGAAAAATTTGCACGGTGCAAAAAATAAAAAAATTTTAAAATTTGAAAAAAAATTTTAAGCTATTGAAAAAAAATAGAAAGCTTTTTCAAGGCTATTAAACTAGTCCAGTCCAAAATTTTAATTTTGAGCCATCACTCAACGGAAATATGCGAAGTTACTGGCTCAGAATCATTTGGACAACATAATACATCGCGCAAAAATGCCAAAATCGGCCGAAAAACAACCAAAACTGGGCTAAAAACGACCAAAACACGTCAAAAATCGACCAACAGGGTTAAAAACGCCAAAAGTAGGTAGAAGAAGATGCAACTCCTAATTTCAAACCAAAATCGAGTTCAAGCCATGAACAAGGTTATTAGACAGCTGAGAGTTTACTAAAGGATGTCAACAATACATATAGGCATCAGATACCATAACATTATTAGACTTCTTTGGAGTCGGCGGTGGGTCGGAGCTCGATGGTGAGGCGGATGGGCTGGTTGATTTGGCTCTTCACCGGTAGGTAGGCCAACAATTCCTCCGGCAAGTTCGCGTTTTGGTCCATTACCTTGAGGACGAAGGTCTGGTTGTGAAGGTTTTTCGAGGTCTCGAGTTGTTGGAAGTAGGCTTCCGGGATGTTCACTGAGAGAGGGGAGGCGGATCCGGACTGAAAATGAGATAAAATTAATTTTGTTACCTAAAATTATTTAAAAATCCATTTTTATAAAAAATTTTTTTGTTACCTAAAATAATATTAAAAAATAATTTCAAATGTGATAAAGATGAGTTCAAACCAAAATTTTCAAAAAAAGTATATTTTATTTCCTTAACTCATTAAAATAAACCCTTTTATGGTTTTTGCACAGTGCAATTAAAATAGAAAGCTTGCACAGTGCAGTGAAATTACGTAATTATGCACAGTGCAACCAAATAAATAACGTTTGCACGGTGCAATGAAATTACGTAACTTTTGCACCGTGCAACCAAATAAGTAACGCTTGCGCAGTGCAATAAAATAATCATTTCCAAAATGCTTACCGTATGTGAATGTTTCTCCTCTTTGTTACTAGGCCTGAACTCTTCTCTTCCTCTGGCAAACCTTAGTGCGGCTTCGTCCACACTCTCCAGTACGTGTTCTTCGTTTTTCATGCTATCCAAGAAGGTCTGACTTAGCTGATGATGACTCATCAGATGAGCACTCAGCTTTTCCACATCGATTTTGCCAACACAAACTGGACAACACTCTTCCGAAGCCGTCGATGACGACGAGCTTGGTGGTGGGATATTGTCTTGGGATTCTAGTTTCACAAAGTTGGAGGGCGTGTCAAATGCGGTGGGGGTTTTTTGAGAAGCATCACACTCGGACGAGGCTGACGAGCCGACATTTGTTGCTGAGATTGGTTGATTTGTTAGTGGCATAATGCCATGGGCGTCGCGTTTGTGGTCGCGGAGTTGTAGCCGGGTGTCGAGCTTGATCTTGCAGATATCGCACCTGGAAAATTATATTGTAGTAGGTAAAAGAATTTTACAAATCATCAAACTTTAAAGTTATAAAGCGGTAAAAAGTTTTTTAAATCTATAGGTAAAAAGTAATAGGTAAAAAGTTTTTTAAATCGTCAAAATTTAGAGTCATAAAACTTCAAAAAATTTTATAATTGCATTAAAAACTAATTCTGCGGCATCTGAACCCAAATTTTTTTCAAAACGAAAAAAATGTTATATTGTAGTAGGCAAAAAGTTTTCGAAAACCATCCCAATTTTGTTTAATATTGTTAATAATCACCCTCTACCTCACTATAAAATGCTTTTTACTTTATATTACAACCTACTTTTTTAAAAAATTTTCGAAAAAAATCAACGTGGTCCCCCCTGTTGAAATTTTTCAAAACTCAAAAAAAATTTCATTTTTCCAACCACTAAATCAAAAAATAAGTTCAAAAATCCTACCTAAAGCTCAACCCGCCTTCCTTTTCCTTCTCCAATGTGTCAATGTTGGCAATCACACTCTTGTTCTCATCGATCACAATATTGTGCATCTTTAGCATGTGGGTCCTCAGGAAGTACTTGTTACAAACCTCTTTGTTGCACAAATCACAGTAGTTTTTGCTGGTGGATGAATACTGCCTTTTGGGGGTTTTTGGCACAGACTGGGCCTGATTCACAAGGTGGGCCATGCGGGCCATGTCCAATGGGCCGTCCAGGCCAAAGTTCTGGCCGTTCATGTTTGGGAACATGGGAAAGTTGAAGTTGGGGAGTGATAAGTTGGGTAGGAGCTGGCTGAGCACGTTGTTCGCGTCGGACGAGGTGGGCACGTTCAGGTGGGGTGTGGGCGGGGTATTTTCGGGCGAGTTGGTGGGGGAGCGGACTTGTTTTTGGGATTGGAGTAGGAAGTTCATGTCCAGCTTCTCCAGTAGGTCGCTGTCTTTGCGCTCGGCTTGTGCGGTGAGGCGGGGCATTTTTGTGACCGGTCGTTCATCTGAGTGTTGTGGAGCTGGTGAACTGTGCCCGGTGGCGCTGGTGCGTTTCAGATTCTGAAAAAGTCACATTAAGATTTAAAAAATTCCAAAAAATTGTGAAAAAAATCGTCATAACTTTTGTTAAAGTAACCCGACAACACCAAAAATTGAAAAAAAATCTTCAAATAGATGTCAATTGTCATACTGTAACAAAAAATCTACTTGATATTTTCGAAATTTTCCAAAAAGTCAAGTTTTCCCTCATCAAAATTTGTAGTAAATCTTCCTACAGAGCTCCTCTACAGTATTCCAAAAACTCCTTACCTTATTTTGCATCTGTGCCTCGAGGGGAGCCAAAATCGAAGCCGCATTCGGGCCCAACAGCCTTAGCAAGTCGTTGTTGCTTTCGGATGAGTTCAGGGTGTTCAGCAAGTTCAACAACTGTTGTGGGTCGGTCTCGTCCTGTGGCGGGGGTAGCTGGAATTGGTTCGATTGTTCACTCAACAGTCGGCTCATGAAGTCGGCCGTGTTCACGGCGGGCGTCGACGGCTCCGAGAAGACGGGCGATTGCTCGGCTTCGGCGCTGGATCGGTTGTTGCCGTTTTGGAAGAGGGCTTGGTTGAACAATGCGTCGAACATTGCTGAGGTTGAGTTGGAGTTTTGGGCATTCTGAAATTTCAAAATTTTAAATTTTTTGACTTTTTTTTAAATTTTTTGTTCTGTAAAGAAAGTTCTTGTCATTTTTTGCTTTGTAAAAAAAGTTCTTGATATTTTGTTCTGTAAACGAAGTTCTTGCAATTTTTTCTTTTGTAAACAAAGTTTTTGCAATTTTTTTCTTTTGTAAACAAAGTTTTTGCCGTTTTTTGTTTTGTAAAGAAAGTTTTTTCCATTTAAAGTTCTGTAAAGAAAGTTTCTTCAATTTCAAAACTTTTTGCAAAAACTGCTCAAAAAAACCGTCAAAGAATGGAAATTGGCCTACACTACAGTTCAAAAAGTTAACAAACTGATAAAATGTATCATTTTGCTACAGTAGGGCGTAATGCTTTTTGCATGGAAGAAGCGTCGCTGATAAGGAACCCCAATTATTTTCCCAATGTTTTTATTCGAAATTTTATAAATTTCGCCTTATCACATCGATTCGAACAAGCGGCCCTTTTTTTCGATTCGACTTTCAAGATTGTTATCACAAAAAAAAAGTTTCGAAAATAGTGCGAAATTTGTAAACAAGTCGAGAGAAGCGCTGCTTCAATTATTTTCATTGTAATAAGAGTTATGAAGGAGTGGTACGGTAGCTGTTAACACCACATTGTTCATAAATCACAACTTAAAATTAGATTTGGTTTGCGCAAAGTGCAAACACATCAAGACCAAGTACAGTTATTGCTCATTGTAGAGACAAGGAAAGGGGGTAAAGGCGGTTGATCAATAGGGTAGGGGATGGTTGATCAAGTGGGTAGGGGAGGGTTGATCAAGAGGGTAGGGGAGGGTTGATCAAGAGGGTAGGGGAGGGTTGATCAAGAGGGTAGGGGAGGGTTGATCAAGAGGGTAGGGAAGGGTTGATCAAGAGGGTAAAGAAAGATGAATAAAAAAGTAAAAAAAGGTGAAAAAGAGGGTGAGGAAGGCTTAACAAAAGGTAAAAAAGGCTTAAAAAGAAGTTAAAGGCTGTTGAACAAGAGGGTGAGAAAGACTGAACAAAAAGGTAATGTAGGTGGAAAAAGAGAGTAGGGCAACTCAAAACTTTTTAAAAAATATTGCAAAATACCTATTCTATCCTATTCTTATCAAAAAAAATGTCAAAACTAATCCTAAAAATGCCAAAAATTAAAAAAAAAGTTCGAAAAAACCCGAAAAACCAGATCATTTTAGGAAAAGCTAAAATTGCAGTAGCCTAATGCCCTTTTGATCACAAGTATAATATATCAAAAGATGGCCAAGAATCTCCTCTTTCATATGCTTATAATTTGAAGTTAGTAATACAATTAAAAATGGCAATATCGATTGAGCTTTCACAAGATACCAAATTTTTAAATATAGCTCAGAAAATATTTTAATTTTTTAAGTTCTAAACCCATGCCCACCTAAAATAATATGTAAAAAGGTAACTAAGACTCTAATCTTTAATTTTGTTAAGCTTTTACATTCAAGTATAGTAAAAGAAATGGAAAAATCGATCAAAATTTGGTGAAACATCAACTTTTGTGGGTATACCACCAATAACTTAAAATTACTAAAACTAAAAGATGTCAAACCCAAACATGTGTTACATCAAAAGATAGCCAAGATCCTACCCTATAATTTAAGCCTAAACTTGATTTATATAAACATCGAAAAAAATACTAAAATCACTCAAACCAAAAATTTAGGTAACACTCAAAATTATTGCGAAAATTCCAACCATTTCGATAAAATTCACCCCTCCAACATCACCAATCAGCAAAAACCCAATCCTATTAACAATATACAACAAAACACTCACCTGCAGCTGCATCATAAGTTGTTGAATGTTATCGGCTTCGGACTTGTTGGTGTCGACGAGATCCGATGAGTCAGTGAGCATGGTTAACGGTTCAGTTGAGGTCCAGGGTTATTCGGTTAGCGTTGGTCAGTCGATAGAGATTTAGCCCCCTTTTTGAAGCCTGCAAAAGTGGAAGAATGAAATTCGTTCGATTTAGGTAAGAAACGCGAAAAACGCCAAAAATCGACGCCAAAACTCGCGGAAATGTGTGCTGAATCGCGCTGTAAATGGACATTTCGATGTATATACGTTGTGAAAAGGAGGTAATAATGGTTATGTAATACGCTAGAATTTGATCTTTGGCGTTTCATCGACAAAAAACGGCTTGAAAACGCGAAAAACAAAGGGAAATCAGGCAAAAAACGCCCGCGCCAAAAAGAATTGTACGGATTTGATAGTGAATCGTTAACAAAATGGACAGTTCTTTTTGACGCGGACAGAAAGATCATTTTTAAATCAAATATAAAGGTATAAAAAAATTAAAATGTTACCTAAAAAATAATTTTGATCATTTTTAGGTCAAAATTTTAATTTTTGGCCAAGTTAAAATTAATTTTTTATAAAATTCGCAAAATCTCGTGAAAGCACGCTGCGTCCCGGCGTTGGCGCGAATTTGAAATATAATTTTTGAATAAATCTTTAAAAAACCATTTTAAAATTAAATTTTTGAAAATATAATTTAAAACAAATGTAAAATACGACTTTCCACCTTTTTAGTTGCATAGATTAAAAAATTATATTACCCATGATCAAGTATCATATCAAAATCAAATTAAAAAAAATTTGATCAACTAATCAGACCAAAATTAGTAAGATCATGCGTAAAAACAGTAAAAATGACTTGAAGACAAATTTTGTGTTTCAAACTTTAACGATTTTTAACGAAAAAACGCTTTTTTACAAACTTTTTTTCGGCGATCGGCCGCGGCCCATTTTTTGGAAGTCGGCTGCCCCGAAGAAGAAACTTTTTTGTATCAGTTATTTTCAAACTGTTAATTTCTTTTCGTTTAAAACGCGCAAAAAACTAATATTTAGAGAAGGTGGCGCGAGAGAGCAAAAGATCAAATGGGAAAGTCGGAGAGACGGCAGAGAAAGATTGGGGAATTTTAGGCTTAAAAGCACTGCTTTAGGCTTAAGTAAATAATTTTAGGCTTAAGTACACATTTTAGGCTTAGGCAGAAAATTTTAGGCTTAGGTACACATTTTAGGCTTAGATGCACAATTGTACGTTTAGGAACACAATTTTAGGCTTAAGAACACAATTTTAGGCTTAAGAACACAATTTTAGGCTTACGTACACATTTGAAGCTTAGAAACACATTTTAGGCTTAGAAACATAATTTTAGGCTTAGGAACACAATTCGAGGCTTTGGAGCATTATTTTAGGCTTAAATCCACAATTTTAGGCTTAGGTACACTTCTTAGGCTTAGATGCACAAGCACAATTTTTGGCTTAGGCACAAACTTTTAGGTTTAGATACACATTTTAGGCTTAGGGGCAATATTTTAGGCGTAAGTAGATATTTTAGGCTTAGGAACACATTCAAGGATTAGGTACGCGTTTTAGACTTAGGAACAGAATTTTAGGCTTAGTTACACATTTTAGGCTTAGAAACAGTGATTTAAGCCTAGGCACACAAATTTAGACTAAAGTATACAATTAAGGCTTAGTTGCATAACCTTAGGCTTAGGTAGACAAATTTAAGCGTACAAACCTATTCGCCCTGCTCTGCCGCATAGCCTACCCTTCACCACAAGGCCCTATTTCGAACTGTGCTGCCCTGCCCCAGAGCCTACCCTACCCAACTTTACCCTACCCTAAACTACCCCACCCCTCCCTTAGGGTTCCTCCAATAAATTTCATTTACTATATCAAACCACATCAATTTCTGATTATTGTGACTAAAAATATATGTTTTCATTACGACATTTCTCGACGGAACAGTAAGAAAACAATTTAATTGACAAATCAGGGTTAACTGAGTTGCCAAAAGTTTCAAAGTTTTTCCGAAATTTTGATGATGATAAAGTATCAGTAGGGTCATAAAAAGTCACGTTGGTTATTGTTTACGTGGAAGAACGTTCCGAGCCGTTTTCAGAGACGTTTTACAAACTTTAATAATTTGATGTATGATGGGCACGATTACTGTAGTTTTTGTTCCTATTTTTCAGCAATAAATCGATGAAATTTGATCAAATAAAGAATGAAAAATAAGCCCAAAAAGATGAAAATAAGGCCCAGAAATGGATGAAAATGATGAGTAAACAGACAAAAATGTCATTTTTTGTCGATATAAAGATGAAGAACGGCAAAAACTTTTTTTACAAACCAACAAATGGCAAAAACTTTCATTGAAAACTCCAAAAAAGCATTTTTTAAAAAGTGGAAGTTGTATTTTGCACTGAAAATCTTCCATCAAACCTTCACTTTCAAAAAGTGCCAAAATGTTATAAAAAGAATAGTATAGGGTAGCGTAGAGTAAAGTAGGGTACCAAACTTATTTTTAGGTACAAAAACAGTTGTTATCAAGCATTAAAAAAGTCTTGTCGTTTTTTAACAAAAGTTTGTAGGGTAAAAAACGACAAGACTTTTTAAAAACGCTAGTAAAGTATAATGAAAAGTAAAAATCGTTTGTATTAGGTTGTTCAAATAATTCTGTGTCCCTGAACGCCAAAAATTTGTTTTGAGAGGGAGCACAGAATTATTTGAACAATATATTATATAAAGATGAAAAGTATAAACAGTGATTGAAAATGACCTTTTTTGACTGTCCCAAACTTTAATCAGTAGCAGTTTGAACAAAAACAAAAATATGACTCTTTAAAGACCGAGGGGATTGTTTGCCCACACAATGCCTATTAGCCCTAAGTTTCAAACTGATAAAAACGAAATTGAAAAATTAATTTGGAAAATTATCGAGAAAATACCATGGAGAATATGTGTTTTTTGTCGTGTTTTGAAACAAACAATAAATATCATGAGTTTTGATTGAAAAAAAAACTTCGAAATTTTTAAAAGGTCAACAACACCAAACCACAAGGAAAACGAAAATTAATTGATGCACTTTTGTCGGCAGACGCGCTAGCAATAACTTTTTTTGGTGTTTTTATCAAAATATTTTGACGTTTTTTGAAGATTTTTAAAAATTTAAAAAAAACGTTGAAATTTCAAAAAAATTTTTTTTTTGAAAAAAAAGGAGGATTACCCTGCCCTATCATACCCTACCCCATTTACCCTACCCTTATTGGTTAAAAAGTCTGTTAATTACGACAATTTTTTGACCAAAAACACGAATTTCAAAAAATTTAAAAAAAAAATTTTAAATTTCAAAATTTTTTTTTTGAAAAATTTTTCAAATTGACTTAAAAATGCCTAAACGGTATTAAAAATGTGACTTTTTTAGTGTTAAAAGGGCTGTCATAGACGTCCATCATCTCATCACAAAAGTTAAAAATTTTTTCAAAAACTATAAAATTTAAAGAAATGAAAAAACCAAACGTTACCCAAATTACCTCTAAATTATCCCCATTTATCTTAGACATATTTTAAACGTCATTTCAAAAAATTTTATCAACCCACTTTTGAGTAACAATCAAAAAACTAACACCAACCCATCAACCTCAAGCCCAAAACTTTAGAAAACGTCAAAAATTTCTGGAAAAACGTAAAAATTGTGAGAAATTGCGAACGTGAGAACAATTTCAAACCTTTAAAGTATAATTCAAAAGCATTTGTCATCACGGCACAACATCCCCAAAGTGTGAAACTTGCTTTTGAATTTCGGTGGGAATGTCGAAATTGAATGAAATTCGCCATTTCGTATAAACACGATATTATGTTTTAAAACCGACAAGAGTTTAAAAAACACAAAGCATTTTGATTTTAAATTAGGTAATAATCAGGGTTTTTAAAACTCATCAAATATAGACGGTTTTTTCGAAAAAACATATTTTTTAAGTCTAGGGTTGAGATGGTTGGTAGGTGGTACTTAAGGAGGTCATAACTTTTGATGCGAGTAAGACATAAATGTAAAATTTTAGTATGATGTAGTCAATAGACATTGTTATAAAATGGTAAAGTAACTTTAAGTTTCTACTAAATGTCAAAAAGTTATGGCAATTTTGAGGACACTAGGTCAAAGCGCCCAAACATCAAAAACAAATTTTTGCTAAATTTAACTTTTGCTACAGTAACCTAAAAATATAACCTTATTACCTAGGTAATAATACTCCCCAGACACCGTAGCTTCTATTACAACTTACACTACATAGTAATTCCTACTACATCTTAACATATATCCAAATTTCTAAGCAGACCCCAGCTCAAACCAATGTATTCGCGGACTTGCCAACAAAAACTAACTGCAAACCCTAAATGACTTCCAAAATAAACTGGAAAGGATTATCACATACATTCGAAATAAAAACTAGATCAAAATGCGTAGAAACCCATATCAAAAAAGATCATTCCATATCGAATATAGGACAGTGCAAAACAATAAACAAGCAAAAAATCTGATTTTGGTCGAGATTGTTCGAGAATAATCGACGTTTTTGGTAGTTGGGGATTATGATATCTTATTGGTCTTGGGTGATATAAATACAGTATGCTTAAAACTATGGTAAGTATCGGGCAGGGTAATTTTGGTCTAGGAAGGGGTAAAATGAGAAAAAAGTTTTTTTTCAGAAAAAAAATCAACAGGGGGACCAAGCTCAACATTTTTCAAAAAAAATTTTTTTGAGAGTGGGGGGGGAGTGAGAAAAAATATCCATCCTTAAGTACAACATAACCTAAAGTACAGTCTTTAAGCTTGCCAAACTTAACGATAACAAACAAACAACTCAAAAAACGAAAAAATTGATCTACAAAGTATAATGTAAACGGTAATTACTGTACATTTGCATAATCTGTTATCTTCAACATTGATTCAGATTGAACGATACACTTTGGGAAGTAAATCAAACCCAATCTGTGTGCGATTCGCCTACCTAATCTAACCAAATTTTGCGATTTTCAGCCCAAAATTAGTCCAAATCCCGCG